GGAGCCAGAGGCCAGGGGGCCTCGAAGAAGGAAGAGCTGTCTTGGTGTCCAGAACTGACAAAGGCTGGGCCTTTGGGGGAAAAAAAGAAAAGCACGTTGCCAGGATCTCAGGCCTGAGGAAAGAAAAGGGGGGGTGCGGTTATAATAACTCTTCCTTTCCATTATGCCCTCTTGTTATTTAGGTGCAGGACTTCTTTGTGAGTGGAAACCAGGTGTCTGGCCCCCTCCTCAGGTCCCCCTCCTTTTACTTCTCTTCATTTCGCTTTGCCTTTCTTGAAAGATCTTTGACCCTCCCCACTCCTCCCTCAGGGCCGCCCCTTCCTCCCGCCTCTCCAGGGATGGGAACGTACCACAGGTGACAGCGGTGCCCAGCTCTGAAAAGCAGGCAGGCGTGGTGGTCAGGGCATCCTCACTGGGAGTGTGAGCGCGGCTCTGGCCCCCGGGAGCCATGTCTCCCTTGGGTTGGGCACGGGCACGCCCTAAGGAGGGGCCCACGGTGGGCAGCAGGGGAGAGGCTGGGGGGTCGGGAGCGAGAGAGGAAGGGAGGCTGCCTTCCCAGCACCTGCATTCAGCCTGAGAACCACCTGAGGGGCAGGGAAGGTGGGTGGTCCTCAGCGCTCCCCACCAACCCCCTACACACGACTCAAAGAGGATACTAGGGGCCCCTCTTCTCTGAGTCTGGAAGCCTAAGGGTGCCCATAATCTTTCTTCAAGAGCATAGATCTCTCTCCTAAACTTGCCCCCATAGGAAAAGTAATAATAATCCTCTCATTTTTCTTCCTTAAAATATCTGAACTTTTAGGGCTTCCCTGGTGGCGCAGTGGTTGAGAGTCCGCCTGCCGATGCAGGGGACACGGGTTCGTGCCCCGTTCCGGGAAGATCCCACATGCCGCGGAGCGGCTGGGCCCGTGAGCCATGGCCGCTGAGCCTGTGCGTCCGGAGCCTGTGCTCCGCAACGGGAGAGGCCACAACAGTGAGAGGCCCGCGTACCGCAAAAAAAAAAAAAAAAAAAAAAAAAAAAAAAAAAAAAAAAAAAAAAAAAAAAAAAAAAAAAAAAAAATCTGAACTTTTAAAGGGAAGGGCCAAAAGGAATCATGCTGTGTTCAAAGCACAAAGACTAAATAAGATGCACCATGAGTGTAACTCTCCAGGGTATCATGCAACCATCACTGTGAAACCCAAACCCTCCCCCAACCTTAAAACCTGTTATCTTCCCCAGCTCTGAAGGAATCTGGCCTCCCCCCCTCCCCGACCCCCGCGGGCTGGCTACCTAGTCCCAGGCGGCCTGTGCTGAGCCTGGGGAAGCAGCTGCTGTCCTAGGCCTGCCTGGCTTCCTACCTGACCCTGGGGCAATGACAGGAGCAGGGGCTCATTGGGACCTGCTGGCTCCTGCCTGAGGGGCTCTGAGCCAGTGACGGGGGGTAGAAGGAAAGCCACCGGAAGGTAAACCTCCTGGCAGGGGCCTCCTCTCTAATTCCTCACGCCAGTGCCTCCAACTGGATTTGCTGCAGGCCCGAAAAGCAGTTTCAAAAATACCCACAGGAAACAGAGGGTTTCAACTTCCCGTTGGGGTCCCGCAGCCTCACCTTCTCTCTGGTCGGCGGGAGCCACAACATCGGGGTGAAGCAGAAGAAAGGCACCCTGGCTGTTCCCAGGGTTTGAGCTGTGAGGCAACAGCACCATTATCTCCACGTGGTGGCCTCTGGACCCAGTGACCAGAACTACCAAGGTGTGGGTCCCTCCCCATGCCAGGGCCCATGCCCGGACCTTCAGCAGCATTACCTCTCGTCCCCGCAAAAACCCTGCCGGAGAAGCCATATCTCCCTGCCTCACAGATGTGGGAAATGAGGCTCAGAGAGGTTAAGTCATTTGCCTGAGGTCAACCAGGTAGAAACTAACAGAGCTGGGCTTTAAACCAAAGTTTTTAAGTGACTGTTACACTGAGCTGAAGTATAGCCCTCTCCAGAAGTTAGCACCCCATTCTCGGCTGTGTTGACCTTAAAGAAGGGAGCATCTTCATTCTGAAATCCCCAGCCCCAGGATAGATCTCTCACCTTCCACCAGAGATCCATGCTCAGTCACAGTTTTCTTGTCCCGGCTTGACCTAGTGGCCCTGACCACAGGCAGCCTCTTCCTTAAAACATAAACCCCCTTTGGTCAAAATGGAGATTCCAAGAAGGCGTCTAACCTTGGCTAACTCACACAAGAAAGGGGGTGTAGAAATCATTTGGGGTCCCTACTTAACAAGCCCAGCTCTCCAGTGATGATTTATATAACATTATGCTTTTTAAGACTCCTGATGTCACTGTGGGACAGGCAGGACAAGTATTTTCTCCATTTCACAGCTAGGCAAACTGAGGTTCAGAGATGTTAAGTGATTTGCCCAAGGTCACACAGCTACTCAATGGCAGGGGTAAAACAAAAACCCTGACCATCCATGTGCACCCTGTGATTCTAGTTCATTCTCTGGGGCTCAAAGAAAGAGCAATTGTTGACCAACACTTTCCTTTTCTCAATACAGAAGGTGATAAATGTGACCATGACTTCTGTTTGCTTGCAGTGTCCTGCAAGTGCCATCTCACAAGCTGGCTTTGCTCTCCCCATTTTCCAGACGGGGAAACTGAGGTCTCCAAAGAAGAAGGGGTTGGGCCCATCCTTCAGGGAGTGAAACTGGGAAGGGAACTATGGGCCCTCCTGATGTCTGGTCCAGACTCCTGGCCACCCTCATCCCTGTGGAAGGTTACAGCACCGTCCTTGGTCTGCGAGACCCAATCCTACCCTCTCAGCTTCTGTGGCGGCAAGTGTGGCTGGAGAGGGAACAGAGCCACCCCATCATCTGCGTTGAGGTGGGGAACAGATTTGCACACACTCCAAAGAGGGTCTGTCACTTGTAGGGTCACAATTTTGGTTTCAGATTTGCTTTTTTTAACTTTTAAGCCATTTGTGGCTTTGGAGAACATTTCGATGACTTTCTTCCTAAAATTAAATCAAGGTGATTTTTCAAAACAAATAACCAGCCTTTGAGGATCCTCACTTTGGGTTTTGTGGGAGGACAGAGAGCCGGAGTGGTCAGGAGAGGAAATCTGGCCCTCTGATATGACCCGCCCGGGGTAAATGGACGACGTGACCACATAGCAACTTCCCAGACCCTCCCTGGGCCTCCGGAATCCAAAACGGGTTCACCAACCAACAGGGGGAAGGAAATATCTCATGAGGAAGATGAAAATCTCATCTGGTCAGGCCCTTTAAACGAGGTCATTATGTATGCATGGAAGCCCCTCCAAGGCCACAGGCTCCTGCAGGAGACTGACTCCCGCCGCTGGCCACAGGTCACCCCGTAGAGGACCTGGGGGAGACCAGCACAGCTCGGCTGCGCGCCAGGCTGCCCCGGGTCTGCCGGCCAAGAGCAATTAGCCAGGAAGAAGTGCTCTTGCCAAGGCTCGGCAAGGAGGCCGCAGCCAGGCAGAGGTAGCCCAAGCGGCCAGAGCCTCTGGGGCTCCAGGGCCTTCGTCGGGAGCTGAAGGACTAAAACTAACTTGGGCCTTTGTTGTAAGCAGCCAGACCACAGAGATGGAGCCGATGTCAAGGAAGCTGAGCGTGCGCCAGGGTCCTGCTCACTGAGATCTGTCCTTTAGGCAAATGATTTTTCCAGAAATGTGTCAGTTTTTGTGTGTTGCTGCTGTTGCCTCTGCTGCGGAGAGTCAAAGGCAGCCGGGTCCGCTCCAGCCCACAGGGCTGACTTCCAACACAGACTTCTGGGAACTGAGCCTCCCCACCTCTGGCTTCTCGAAAGGAGAGTCCAGCATGTACTGGGGAGCTTAGGAGACAAGAGCAGCCCTCGAGCTGAAGCTTCTGCGTGATTGCCGCCCTGGTCGTAAATAATTACATCACCCCAATTATTTGTTTAGGGAACAATCATTTCTCCCCCATCCTGAAACTTCCAGAGTCAGGCCTCAGTAGACAATGGCAAACATACACTATGTGGAAGGAAGGAATTACTTGGGAAAAGGAATTCGTAGTGTCACATCAATACTGAAGGGGTTCTCAGAGCTGCAGTCCTCGGGACCAACATTCAGATTCTTGACCCGGTAGCCTTCACTCACCTTCCTGGTTCTTGAGTCCCACCAGGGAAAGCTCCAGACCCAGGCTGAGTGGAAGGCAGGGTCTTGGTCTCTTCCTCTGCCACAGGCTGTGGCCTGTCTCTCCTCAAGGATGCCCCAGCTCTGAAGGTCTGGTGCCTTGCCAGGCCGTTCCTGATGGACAGCAAATACTGACTGGCTATGGTGGGGCCTCAGAATTATCTTCACAACATTTCCGTCCACCCCTCAGGGCCTCGCCCTCCCTCCCCAGCCGCATCAAGAGATCGCCCTGGCTGTGGATGCCACTGGGTATCTGCTGGGTAAGCAGCTCTTCCTCTTCACAGGGACCAAGGAACAAGGAGGGATTTCAGGGCTCCATCGTCTAGACAGCCTCTAGGTTTCGAGTCTAGAAGTTTCCAGCGGGGCTTGTAATAAATAAAAACTTCTCCACAGCCCTTTGCTCCTCTGCTGGGTTCAGGATGAAGAGGCTAAGCTGGGGGCAGGGAGGCTGTGCGAAGATTTCTTGGAACACGATAGATAGAAAACACCAAACCACGCATGAGTGACTGATGGGTGGTCACAGAATGGGGCCAGTGGCTCCTTAAATGGGAACCGGCGAGAGGGCCGCAGTGCTAGGGTAGATGTGAGGGTGTCCACAGGGCTGTGGCTGGGGTCCTCCTTCAAAAGTTTACGATCTTTCTGGCAGAAACAGGAGGGGCTGGCTGAAGAACGGAGACCTGTGTGTCGGAGTTAAGCGGATGTCTCACCCCCTCGGTTCCACGTGTCCACGCCCTCTGTGGTTACTGATGTTCCTTACAGTTGGTCTGTCTGGAAATACGGGAGTAGGGGCTCGATCTGGTTTGAACTAGGCTCTGCTTCAGCCTCTCTGGCGGCAAAAGCCCCATTCTGTGACCTGGGGCCCTAGGCCTGGCAGCCGAAGGCCGAGGCTTTTTCTTTGAGCAGTTCCCAGCATAAGTGGCAGCTCCAGCTCCCTACAAGAAATGAGATGGCATCACTAGCAGCCCCTCCCCCAAACCTCAAGCCCCACCCCTTGACCCTAACCTTCTTGTAAGCCCTGTTTTAGTTTGACTTTCACCATTCAGAGGCCGAGTCCCCAGTTCTGAAAATGTGCTGGAGTCTGTCGCTCAGCCGCTCGGGGGAAACAGAAAGTGCTCAGAGATGATTGGCTGAACTGCAGTGAAGACCCTCCCTCCTTGGCTGTGCCTCTTAACCAGGAATCACCGGGTCTGGACCACTTCCTCTAGAAGCTCACACCTGCCCCACCCTCTCAGCCATATGTCTGGGAAACATCCCCTTGGCCCTCAAGTTGAAATTTCAGCTGGCTGAGCTGTGCCTCAGTTTCATCATCTGTAAAATGGGAGTGGTCATACCTGCTCCGAGGTGTTGTGACGATTAAATGAGACAAGACACGGAAAGCCCTTAGCACAAGGCCTGCACATTAGTGAGGGCTCAGTAAGTGGTAAAAGTAGCTGTTGTTGTTATTGTTGACTTCATCACCATTACCTTCTGGGGGCTCAGCCACCGGGGGATTCAAACAGTACATGTGGTAGCCGCGGTCACAGTCATCACAGAAGAGGAGCTGGTCCTGGTGGAATGCAGAGTAGGAGGAGAGGAGGAAAGTTTGAATTATTTAGAACCAACATCTGGCCCCCACCTACTCCGCCTGCCTTATTTCCATTGATCAACTTCCCTGGACGCCCCTTTCCAGGCCCCATTTAGTGTCCTCACTGTCCCTTGAACATGCCTTGTGCTTTGCCCACACCTGGAATTTCCCCCTCTGTCTCCCAAACTATGCGCATCCTACTCCCACTTAAGAGTTCCGCTCAAACCATAGCTCCTCCAAGAAGCCTTCCTAGACCACCACCTCACACCCGAGCTTAACGGGATTCTTTATCCTTCTGAACTCACATAGCCAATAATTCTGCCTCCATGAGGGCGGAAAACTAATTTCATGCATTTCTGTGTTCTCCAGGATGATTGCCTAGTGCATAGAAAGTACTTTCAATGTTTGCAAATTTTAATTGAATTCCTCTCAACCTCACTCTTTCCATTTGTACAATGGGCAGCAACCATACTTGCTGGTAACATCCATAACACCTCAGAACTTTTTCAGGGTTTCATTATGCAAGTTTAGAGAAATGCAAGTGATGTGATGCCACCTTTCAGCTCTCAAAAGCCTCTTCGGGGGCTGGAGGCTGGAGCCAGATGAGAACAGTCCCCTCCAGTGCTGTGGTTAACTTCCAAGGACACAGTAGGCACCTTTGCTCCTGCAGTCCCCTCTGCCTGGAGACTCTCCCAGTGCCTGATCCCTTCTCTTCTGGACCATTCCCTACCCACCCTTCAAGTCTTCAGACACTTCTCTTCCACAAAGACTTCACTAATCTTCGTCAAATGGAATTTCTCTGACCCCTCTTGCATCCTCATAGTACTTTCTCTTCCTTAGGACATTTAATTGCACTTTTCTTTATGCTACAAAGCCTGGCATGTGGTAGACATGTACACCCAGTCCATTTGGAACATGCCTCGTTTCTCCACTCCTTTATAGATTGCAAGGCCCTTGGGGCAGAACCTTGTCTTACTCATCTCCGCATCTCCTTCAGAACTTCCTTGCACATAGTAGCTACTCAGTAAGTGTTTGTGAGCTGGTCCCCATTCTCCAGGTTCAGCCCTGTTCTATTCAGTGACCTTTGGGCCTGCTTTGATGGCTTATAAGACGTCTGCAAAGTTAAGTTCTGTATCAAATCTCACCCTGGCTCTCACCAGTGTAGAGATCCTAGAAAAAGTAGATATAGAAGTTGAAAACCCCTGTGAGCAAGCAGTGGGGCAGGAGAGATCATGAATGATCTTTTTTTTTATATCACTCTAAGACCTTTCAATAGGACAATGGGAAGCTTTCGAAGAGTTAGCAATAGAGGAATAACATGGTCAGACTTGCAGTATAGAAAGATCTCACTAGCTGCTGTATAAGAAAAGATATCCAGGTGGAGAGAGATTGGTTCTTGAGGCTGGAAGGCCACTTAGGAGGCTACTATAGTCGTCCAGGTAAGAGATAACTTATGATGGTGGCCTGAACTAGGGTTGTGGCTTGGGGGAGAGAAAAGGGGCTTGCTTCCATCTGAGAGTCATTGATTAGATGTAGAGAGTGATAAGGAAGAAATCAAGGATGGCTTCTAGGTGGTGGCTTGGTCGGCAAGCCAAACGATGTAGCCATCCACTGAGGCGTGGGCAGAGGAGCAGACCTGTGGGAGGCAGAGGGCAACCTCAGCTATGAACATGATCTGTAGGTCTACAGATCACCTGGTGAGGATGCCTGGAGACAGCTAGAGGTCAGGAGAGAGGCCTGGGGGTAAGATATGGACTGGGGAGTCACTGGTGATTAGATGGCACTGGAGGTCCTGGGAAGGGAAGCCCAGAGTACGTGAGAGCAGATGTCTTTGAACTTGTGCTCATGGAGGGGTGTTCATGAACTCCTAGAAATTATATGCACAACTCTGTGTATAGGTACAGAGGTACATTTTTCTGAGCAAAGGGTAAATCCATAGCTTTCGTTGAATTTTCTGAAAAATCAAAGACTCAAAAAAGTTACTGAGGAGCAGGCCAAGAATAGATCCTTGGGGAACACCAAAGCTAAGGCCCAGGCAGAGAAGACAGAGACTAAGAAACAGCAGTCAGAAAGGTAGGATGAAAACCAGAACAGTGTGGTTTACTCCAAAAGAGTTACACCATTATTGTTGGAGCTGAAATAAGCTAAATGACAATATGATTTAGGGATAATACAAGGAGAAACCAGTCAGGATAGGGACAGGAAACAGGGAGGGACTTGTGAGAAACAGTATTATTAATATCTGAAATACATTGATAACTCCTACTCTAGTGCTGACACAAGAAATACAAGGAGGTAGAATATCCTAGATTGGACTTTCCCAAAGGGAAACCAAGGCATCTGTGGGCTTAAATGTCTCTTTCATGGGTTGATCATTGTCTAGCACCATATTCTCTTCTTTTCCATTTGCTTCTCAGATAATTGCCAGCCAAAACCACCAAAAAACCCCCAGCTCATGCGGACCCCCATGAGAAACACAATTTAAGGACATCTTACTCCCAAGTAGTCAAGAACCAGAATTCACCTATGGCTACAGTTCCAGTAGAATGGGAATCCCTTTCTGGGATGTGCAGGGTAAAGCCCTGGCTATGTGAGAGGAACCCCCTATTGCCCAAGCAGCCTCACTCCTTGATTCCTCCCCTAAGGTTCTGCCAAGTCAACAAAAAAACTCTACGTTAACACTATTTGTAAAGCCAAAGACCAGAATCAACCCAAATGTCCATCAATAAAGGACTGGTTGAATAAACTAATGAAGAGCTATGCAACTGTAGGAAGGAGTTAAGATTATGTCTATACATTGCTGTGGAGTAACCTCCAGGATATTCAGTGAAAACACAAAGTAAAGAAAACAGGTATATCTTTCCACCATTTTCTAAGAAAATGCATCCACTTTCTTATGGATTCATGTGCACATACACGTTTCCATTTAACAAAATAGAAAGATAAACCATAATTTTTTTAAATGGTCCTATAAGCAGAATGTAAAAGAGGTAGGGATAGAAGTTAGATTTCTTTGAACATACCGTTTATTTTAAAAATTTGACTCTGGAGCCAGTAAATATTTTACATGGTCATAAAGCAAAATTCACAGGGTAACTGTCACTAAACAAAAAAAAGAAAGAAAAATGAAACAAATGAATCTAATCATGTACTAGTTGGTGGCATAACCACACAGAAAGAAACTATTCCAAGTGACTTGGAAACAAGTAGTTGGACTGTACCTCCTCAGTCAAATATATCTCAAGGACAAAAACAAGTGCAAATATGCATATACATATACATACATATATATATTTCTTTTCAGCAATCATATTAGCGTTGTTAATAGTGGAATTGATATTCTATGTGTGTATCAAATGAGTGGTTATGTTGGCAATGAGAAGCAAAAATTTTGACATGGTTAAAAGAAAATACAGATGTAAGAGTGATAAGGTTAAGTAAAAACCCTATAATTAGTTCTGGCAATGAATTGAAAGTATCAGTGTAAATTCACAGTGTACTTTATCTTTAAAACAAGCAAAACCTATTTTCTAGCTCTGTCCATTGAAAATGCTCCCAAACAATGACTACTGCAGTAAAAATTAGCACCCCATCACCCATATTATATCTTCTAAAAACCATTGCCCACTAAAAGGAAACAGGAGTCATTGGAGAAATGGCTGATTCCAGGTCTGGAGCATGAAATGTATAAGTACCGTTACATATTGGAAAGTAAGGAAACAAATACTACTGAGATAGGGACTTCCCTGGTGGTCCAGCGGTTAAGAATCCGTCTTGCAATGCTGAGGACGCCTGTTCGATCCCTGGTCGGGGAACTAAGATCCCACATGCCGCGGGGCAACTGAGCCTGCATGCCACAATTACTGAGCCCGCTCTCTCTGGAGCCCCTGCGCGCTGCAACAAAAGATCCCGTGTGCAGACCTGACGCAGCCAAAAAATAAGTAAATATTAAAAAAACAAAAAACAAATACTACTGAGGTCATGTCAGACGGACTCAGGATCCAAACTGTGTTCCCACTAGAACAAAAGTGGGAACACAGTCCCAAAGACGGGACAATTTTAACTGTAATGGATTGAAATAAATCAAGTATGTATAAATCCTCGAGTCCATAAAGATATTATTTTTTAAAAACTTTGTCACTTTTGTTAGATGATAGGGAAACATCCCATCACTTTTTAATTTATTATATTGAAATAATTTTAGTCTTAGAGAAAAGTTGCAAAAATGATACAGAGTTTCTGCGCACACTTTACTGAGCTTCCCCTGAAGTTAACATCTTACATTACCACAGCACAATCATGAAAAGCAGGGAATCACCATTGCCATTAGCATGACACTATTGATTAATCTGCAGACCTCACCTCATTTGAATTTCACCAGTTTTTTTTCCCCACTTAAGTCTTTTTCCCCAGGATTCAATTCAGGATCCTACATTCCATTTAGTTGTTAGGTATTCTTAGTGCCCTGAATCTGTGACAGTTCCTTGATTTCTTTGTCTTTCATGACTTTGACACTTTTGAAGAGTCCAGGCCAGTGATTTCGTAGAATGTCACTCAGTCTGAGTTTGTCTGATCTTTTTTCCATAAGAGGAGATCTTCTCAGTGCATCTTATGGGGGGCACGGACACCAATGTATCTTATTACTAGTAATGTCACTCTGATCCTATAGTTAAGGTAGTATAGTATCTGTAGTGTAGTTTTTCCACGGTAAAGTTATGGTTTTTCCCTTTGTAACATATTAATAAGTAATCGGGTAGGGGAGATACTTTGAGATCAAGCAAATATTCTGCTTCTCATCATACTTTTGCCCGCTAATTTTAGCATCAATTGATGATTCTTGCTTACAACAACCATACCATGATGTTTGCCTACTGGTGATCTCCCTCTTCCCTCTACATTTATTAATTGTAATCCTGCTCTAAGGAAGAGTTTACCTCTTCCCCATTCATTCATTAATTCATTCACTTATTCAATTTTTAAAATGTTAATATGAATATTTATTTTGTCTTTGGGTTATAATCCAATACTATCATTATTTACTTTGTTGCTCAAATCGTTCCAGATTGGGCCATTAGGAATTCCTTCAAGTTGGCTCCTGTGTCCTTTACCAATTTTTTAGCACCTCCTTACTTTCTAGTACCACAGGAGGCTCCGGCCTCCTCTCACATTTCCCCAGCTCCAGCTATTTCTCCAAGAATCCCTGGCTCCTTTTACTGGAGAATGGCATTTAGAAACCAATATCTGGGTGCTATGGGTCCTCATTGCTTCTGGGTTGTCATTGCTTCTAGGCCCTTACGACAGAGTTAGGAAATAAATGTACGTGTAGGTGCACATCTATATTTATTTCTGTATTTATCCACATGTGTGTGTACATATAAATAATTATAGATATATAGTATATAAACAAAATATATTATATTTAAAAGCATAAATTCATACTGATACCCCCTATTCCAACCCAGGACCACAGGGTTCAGTCTAGCCTTCCCCCTTTATTTGATTTTTCTTTCTCGGACATTGGGAGACCTGGCTCTCATTATTCACAATATATAGGCATCAGTTCAGACCTGCAGACACATCAAGTAGTTTCAGAATGACTAACTCACATGCCTGTGAGAAACAAATTTACTAACTAGCATATAATATGTGTATAGTCATTTCTGTCTTTAGCCTTAAAATACACAGTCAAACACTACTTTCCAAAGTTATCTAGGTTAATTTTTTCTTTC